CATTTTAACCGTATATGCTACATTTACTTACTTGTTTGTGAGTAGCAACGTTTACGTCATTGTCTTCTAGGTTCCTCGTTGAACTTAAACCGATCAGTCAACCCTCCCCCCGTGCCGCGGCAGGACAATTTGTTTACCGCCAATGCCTCTGCCGTCTTTCCCGGTCTCGACAGTCTAACAGAACTGCTCCCACCACCGTCTGGTCCTTTGCATCCAGTCGCCAGTTGTGGCGACCTATCTGCAGAGGACTCTATCTCCTCCTCGCCAACTCCCGGTCGTCATCAGCTCACTACTCAGTTCGAAGTGTCTCTCCATCGTAACCACTCGGCTATGGCTTCGCCTGTTCATGCCAGCCTGAAGGTCGATGCTCCACCGAGACCACCACCCCCAAAGGTGGAATCCACTCCGTCTGATCTCGAGTGGGTTTTTTGGCTTCTCTATCTATTTGTTTTCCGATATCCTTCTGGGGCTGCCCTCTAGGCCAGTCTTTTGACCCTAGATGGGACCGTGTGACTGCGTTCGGCAGACAAACCCTAATAAAAAAACAGCTTATTTATTGTCCTCGACACCGCAACTGACATTTCGTGTTTTCTTTTTTTCAGCTCTGAACCGCTCGTCGCCTTCGATCATGTAAGCCCCAGTCTTTTTCGCGGCCTTCTTTTAATCCTGAAATTGTAACCCCAAGGTCTGTGTTTTAACAATGCTACCGACACAGACAAGGGTGACTTGATCGACCGCTCCGGGTTTATTTGCCGTCATCGGCCAGCCAAACCCCGACTCCAGGCAGGACTCAAGGATGTGAACCCTAGTCAGTTGGGGTGATTGAGCCCTATCAACTGTCAACCAGGCTATGAGTCTACTTTCTGTCGAGCGTGTTTGAGGCGCATCCTATGTCACCTTTGAGTGTCATTCATCGTCCTGCCCCGGTCACATGGCGAAAATGGGCAGCTCCGTTTTGCCTTGAGACTCTGTGTCCAAAGCCTTCGCAGACGGTCGCATAGCCGCCAGTAATTGGTGCGAGAGAGTGTAGACTGGAGTGACCATTTGTGGTCTATTCGCCATGCCGCAACTACAAGCCTCGTTGGCAGTTAGTGGCGGATTTTCGCAGTCATATCTTTCCGGTGTAATTTCTGCGAAACTCCCGCTTCACTTTCTAGACGTACATTGTTAATGAGGAGGAACCTTTCTATTAGGTCTAGGACGTTGACGTCAAAACTCAGAAAACAGTGTTCCCATTGACCATCCCGGTCTTTCTGGCCATGAACTCGTCTATCAGCAAACGTGTTACGTTTAATGCAAATTGCAATTAACTTGTGGAAAAGTCGGCTTAACCGTTCATCTTTGGAAAAGCCACCTTTTGCAGATTTAGAGTTGTGAAAATCCCCATAGCTGTATCCAGAAGAAAAGATGGCAAGCGAACGTTGCTTTCGATAATTTCTCGTCAGGCCAGTACAGTTATATGGGACGGGGTACAAGGAGTGAAAAAATCGATTAAAGTTAATTTTTAAATTCCAGGCTGGACAAGAGCGGAAGGGCGCTGAAAGTTGTATGTGGTTAGTCAACCTCTGACCACGGTGAGCGCGGAGCCTGAATGAGGTTCTTCTGGGCGCATAGGGTCGGTTTTCGTAACTCGATGGCGACCGCTTCTGCTCTTGCTAACAGGCGCAGGCCCAGTAGCTTAAGGTAGCTCGAGGGGACCTTATAAATCACACGAAATGCTTCAGCGGGGTCCACATGATGCCCTGAATCCACTGCATGCACAATGATGGCGCTGTCTATTCTCCTAGTTTCACTTTTTTCCAGCCATGTGGGAAGGTGCTCTCGTATTCGTTTGGAAAGGCGCCGACTCGTACGACCAATATAACCTGCTCCACAGGAACAAGTGAATGCGTAAATGCTCATGGAGGTGGTCTGAGGTGGCAGCCTATCCTTGCCTTCTCCGCGTAAAATAGGGTTAATAGAGAATGATATGCGAACCCTTGTTGCTGGGAAGGTTCCCGAGACAGCTTGGTCAAGGCGTCTTCTTAGGAGTTCACTTGCAACGTCTCCTTGGAAAGGGGCCTTGAGGAACAACGTTTTCTTTTCGGCGGTCAGTGTGGTGGGTTTTGCTGGTCGTTCGGCAAGGTTCCTTGCATATTTCCATAAGCAGTGGCTACTTTAGGTAATTGGGTGCCTCCAGTCTAAATCAGGTCGGTCAAACTATCCCGTCAGGGCTCCTAGGTGTGTCACAAAGTACATCCAGACTTTCAGCATTTTCTTCCTCAATGTCCTTGATCAAAGCAGATTATAAACGACAATACATGCCGCTGCGTTCCCAGCCTGGGCTTGTTGTAGGTGGGCGATTGCCATTAGCCGGGGTGTGTATTGGCTGCAGCCGCTTGGTTCGGTCGTTGTTTAGAGGTGGCCGATTCTCTTGACGCCTTATGAAGTGAGGTATATAAGCACGTCAAGTGGGCGTTTCATAAAGCCTGTGACGCACTGATGATCGGTAACGACCGCGAAACAGCTGTCTGCGTCTGGCCTGTTGCAGTCTTAGCGAGCTGCCTATGTAATATATGCCTGTGCCGATGTCTGGAGGACGAGTACAGGCACATGTCCGCACATTGCAGGTAAAGATGACTAGACCCTCGACAAACGCTGAAAGTGCTCAGTATTGTTTCCGTTAGATTTTAACCTTGGGCGTACGTTAACTCAAGCAGCTTTCGTTTTTGCGCATTTGCTGTGGTTTAAAGGCTGTCTTTGATTTTGCCTTCTGTGCGGTAGTGGCGCTTTTTACTATTTGAGAGGCGCCTTGTGTGTTAAAGCAAGTGTTCGTCTATATCCTAGACTGTTACGCTAGGATAGTCTTGCCCCTTTCCTCCTCCCGCCCGACTGCGGTTTTTGCCGCGCAGTGTGCAGCGCTAGAACGTGCGGAGGAGACTGGGTGTCTTTTGAAGGGGACTTCATTTGTTCCGTTGGGACATTGCATGTACCTCTATCGCCACATTTATCATGCCCCAATCTCGTTTTGAGGGAGATGGGGAGACGCCGGTAGGCGACATGTATCTTCTATGGAAGCTCGATATTTGATTGCGAGATTACAGAGTTGGTGACTCCCGTGATTGGCTCTTCTGGAGGTCGAATGTGCGTGTGCTCCAACTGTTCGTTAGCTGTGCTCGCATAACTAGTAAAGCAGTGTATGTCAATAGAAGCAAAGGGGTGGGTGCCGGGGAGTAGTTCGGAAGAAGAAGATGCGATCTTTGTTCCAGCGATCGCATCTTCTGAGCAGTGTACATTTCGGAGGCGAAAGGCCTATTCGCTCTCGAGGCGCTACACTGACTCCACGGATTCCTGGCAGAAACTCTCTCCCCGTATGCGCCTTGTGACCGAAGTTAGTTTTTTTTTCTTCCGTCTCCCCTTTCCTACCTAGCCGGCCCCTCCAGCACCTCCTCCGCCTCAACTTATTGCTCCCCACCTGACCAACACGACCCCCGGCGACTTGCCCCCTCCACTCGTCCCTCAGCGCGTCGGCCCGCCACCCCCACCCCGACGGCCGCCCGTCCAGTCTCGACAATGACACGATTTGCGTCCACTTTCGTCTGTCGGCGAGGGCTGAACTCCGTGGAACGACGGCCGGGTGAAGTGTTTGCGTTCGCGTGTATCAGGCCTGAGGGCCTCCAGTCTCAATGAAGACACCATCATTCCATTGTGCATTTGCTCACTACTGGCTCTTCCTCTCCCCCCCCCCTTCCTTTGCATCATTTCTGGCTGTAGAATCGTGTCGGTGTCTGTGTCTGTGTGTGTCTATCTACTGTTGTTGCCTCCGCCGCACTGATAAATGTTGTTGTTGATTTCTCTCTCAACCCCCATACTTGCCATGCCTCTCTTTTCTGTGGTTTATCCTCCTTTACCCTTGACAAACAATTCAGGTATAGTGGTTAACAGAAGAACGTTATTTGATCGTCTTTTTGTCTTTTATTTCTGTTTTGCGAAATAAACGCACTGTTTGTAACTTCCCTGGCTGGATTCCCCACGTTTTAGAAAACGGAGTTGGTCTGCCATCTTGTAGAAAACTTTCGCTCACTTGACAGTTGGCGGCTGCTATCTCCACCAACTTTTGTTTGTGATGGGTAAGGCGCGTGTCAGATTGCTTGTAGTGAGGAATATGCGCTTAGTGTCGTGACGACGGAGTCCCCACACTCGGTCCCACTCCCCCATCCAGTCGTATGTTGAGGAGATTGAACGTGGTGCCTGACAGAACTAAACTGTCCGTCTACGCGTGCTACACACGCGATCGGGCGCATCAGGATTTCGCACAAGGAAGTGAGATGCTCGGATCTCACGTGTTAAAGTAGCTTAGGAGCCACATGGAGAAGGAGCCGAAGACCACACTTACGTGAGAGGTGCCTATTTCGTGCCTGTGGTGTGCGCTATCGGACATATTGCAGCGTGGTACATGTGTCAGTGGTAAAATGTGTGGCTTTTTCTGTGGTGGTTCGCCGCGGACATCCATGGAGGCGCATTTGACCGAGTAGGCCTATGTGGTGACTGGGTGTGCGTGGGCAGGTGGGGCGATGGCTATGTGTACTCCAGGCACTGCTCCGCCGGTCTGCGATTAGCCCGAAGATGGTCAATCATGCCGATGCGTGATGTGCATGTGCAGTGGCAATGTGGAGCTGGCAGGTTGATAACTGCTCTACTGGTTGCTGTGGTGATGCTACTAGTGGTGGCAACGCTGGTGGAGGGGTGGTTGGTATCACCGGGATGAGAGAATTGTCTAATGTATATGGGGGACTTGGCATGTCGTCGGTCGGTGGGTTTCGCTATCATGGCGCGTGGCCGTGTAGGCCTGTGTGGTGGTCGAATCTTCATGGGCAGTGCGGAGAGTTGAGATTAGTGTATGCCGGGACAGCTGACACTGTTCCACTGGCTTGAATGCGGTGGCCGACCAGGCTGATGCGTGATGTGGTCGCAGCAAGTTTATATTGCTAGTGGTGAGAGCGGTGGTAAATGACGGGATGTCAGGGGTGTGTGGAATTGTAGTCCTCGTCGCGGGAGTTGCGGCAGTGATCATTTGAGGTGGTGAATGGGCTAGCGAGACGATAGGCATCGGTGGTGATGGCGGTCGTGGGAGGTTGCGTCAGGGATGGCGACGGAGGCATTTGCAAATGCAGGGGGCAAATTTGTAGTGCCGTTATTGCATCGGGTTTGCAGATGTCTGACCGGGCCGGTTCCTGTACGCGCTGTCCGTTGACGGCGTGGACACGTTGGAAGTGGTGGGGTGTTGGGGCTAAGGATCCACGACGCTTACGATATTCAATCTGCTCTTTTGACTTTGGCAGCTGCGATTCGGCTAGCATCGTAGAGTGCTGCTCCGGTCTTCACCGATTCTCTCCCATACCGGTTAGTTCTGGGCGAGGTTCTTCCAGACCTCCGGCTTGATTTGCAGTTTCTCATGAGAGTTCTGCAAGGTGTCATAACGTCGTTTTTGTCCTCTTCGTCTGCAACCACCCGTAGAGACCGCCGTAGAAGAGTCGTTTGGGTAATCACTCATCGCCCATCATCTACGCCACAGGATGGCGTAGATGCCGAGGACTCCGGTTCGTTCCAGAACCTCTCTCTCTTCAGGATTCTGTCCTGCCACAACTTAAGCATTCTCCGGAGGCCTTTGAGGTGGAAGCGATTGAGATCCCTATCTCTATTGGCGTAGATGGTCTGTGTACCCACCCTGTATATTACCGTTTTTGATACTACTGTCCTGTAGATTTTAAGCTTCGTGTTTCTTCGAAATCTATGACGCTTACAGACGGAGACCTGCGGTCGACCGAAAGTCTGGCTGACTCTTGAGATCTGGTGGTTTACCTCGCCACTTATATTAGTTTTCTTTGAGATGGTGTGGTCGTGGTAGACTACCTTGTCCCCGAATGCGAGTTGTGCTCCTTTCACGTTGACAGGGGACGTGTTTTCCCTTCTCCGCATGACCACTGCTTTGCCCGTGTTAATGGTAAGCACAAAGCTTGAGCAACCGGAGGTCAAGCGGTCTCCATGCTTTTGCATGGCTGCTTCTGTCGTAGCAGTGAGTGTATGCTCTTCCGGGTGGACGCTTGCACTGGTCGGATGTTGAGAAGCTGGTCATCGGTCTTGTAGGCAAGGTCAATCCGTGGGTGATCATCACGGTATACACCCACCTGCATGACAGAGAGCATGAGACTGAACAGTGTAAGAGCAAGCACACATTCATGCTTTACTCCACTGGCCACAACGAATGCCTCTGATACTCTTCCAACGTTCGTGACGCACGCCATTATGCCGTCGTAAAGTTGGTGTACCCTGTGCTTGAATCGTTCCGAACAGCCGAACCCCTGCATTATTTCCCAGAGCCCATGGCCATTCACCGAGTTAAAGACATCCCTTGGGTCCATGAAGGTAGTGTGGAGATTTGTCCACACCTTTTGTCACTTCTCCTATAGTAGGCAGGCGACAAAGATTATATCGATGGTTCCGCGGTTTTGTCGCAAGCCACAGTGACTTTCTGGAAGAAGTCAGAGTCCCATATGGCTGCTGAGACAATCAAAAAGAATGCGAGCGAAGGTCCTCTTGGCAATGTCGAGCACTGAGACTCCTCTGTGATTACCACAGATGTTCAAGTTCTTTCTTCCGCCTGTAGAAGAAGGCGATTGTCGCGCCTTTGAAATTCTTGGAGACTTGTCCTTGCCATCATAACGCTTGGAAGAGCGATACCAATTTATACACCAGCCGAGCGTCACTGTACATGTAGAGTTCTACCAGGACCGCATCAGATCTCACTAGAGAGCTGTGACACGGCTCTGGTTGTCTCTGAGAGGGAAGACGGGAGATCCGGATCGTTGTTCGTTGCAACTTTTAGTAGCCGGCCGATGGCGCGTCCGAGATCGTGGATAGGCGGCTAAGGACGGCTGTAAAGTGCTTAGCCCAGTGCCCTAAACACCGTCCCTCGATATTGCGGCCTTTGCAGCCAATGACATCCACTGCTTCCTGAGGTGACCGCAGTCGCGACTCGCCCCACAGTGAAGCACCCTGCTTTGCATCCATCCATCTCTTCCGTCGACCTCCTTTTTCGATGGCTGGACATCTGGGGGTGTAGTGGCTAACAGATCCAAACGACCCGTCTACGCATGTCAAAGGGTCCGCCCCGGACTCGGCGCGTATCAGACCTCATTCGTGGGCGGGACCGTCGAATCTCCGCGTAAAGGGCAGTGCCATCAAGACCGTACTGCGAAGCCATTCCAGCCTAACTCTCTTCGTCTTCATCTTTACTGTTCGCCGGCAGCAACAGAGACGAAAGTCGTTTTATTTCCACACCTGATCTTCGTATACTATCCACATCTCCACCTTCCTACGAGGGCATCGTTACGATGACGACCGTAGCCTCACGTCGAAGTTGGGACTGCAGTGGTTTTAGATCCAGTGTAGCAGCCTGACGAAGGCCTTGATGACTTTTGAGATCTGGCTTGCAGTTTTCCTGCCCCCCGTTATGTTTCTCGAAATCGCACTCTTCAGATACGCAAGTCTGTCAGGGCAGGTGTCATATACGTCCCACGTTTCTTACATTCTCTAGTTAGTGCCGGCTGATGCACAACCAACGCCTTCTGCGTGCTAATGGTCAGCCCGAAATACTAGCAGCCGGAGGCGAATACCTCATGCTCCGTCGCATTCTCATTTTCGTTGTGCTGTTGAATGTGTAGCCGCCTACGCAGAAGAGCTTATGTACGCCAGTCTCGGGTATATGGTCACTGCCATCATACGTCGGATTTTGAACACCTATCTATCATTTCGATACATGACGCTGATCACAGGCCATTTCTGCTGGGAGTGCCTGCACTCCCTAAAACAAGAGCCAACCAATCACTGGAGACCACGTGCATTTACTCTCTCTACAGCGCTGTCATCCTAATCGGGCGCCTCTCTATTGGCTACTCCCCTCTTCCCGAAGGTTATTGGGCCGAATGCCGGCAAACCACAGTAGGGTGTTATAAATATGCGTCACCTTTCAGCTAGTTACGACTTGCAGTGTTTTTCTAATACACTTTCCGTGGCCAGGCGTATTTTCTTTGTCTGCTGCTTTGGTATTGGGGACAAGGGTCGAGTGCGTATACGCTCCACGGGATTTCCAGTACCAGGCGGGTCATAACAATTTCATATAGTAGGCGCCAACAGCATGGTGGAGAACATAAAGCGCCGAAAAGACTGAGTCCGTTTAAACGTCTCTGCTTCACCCCATCTCCCACTGCAAGAGCTTTTGAAGTTAACACACTGTTTGTGACCTGCGTCATCATACTGCTGGGCAGGTCTTTAGCCACTCACATGAAACATTTACGCCGTTCTAATTTCTATACTGCTTTTCAAAATCCACTGGCGTTCATTTTGTAGGACTTTGACTGGTCGTAAATTTTGGTGTGGAGGCGGGCCCCCATTTTGTTGCCTTTTTCTTGCAGTTTTGGTGGTTCCGTTGTGTTCTCGGAATCCAGACTGAATTTCGGGACTAAGTCCTTGCTTCAGGTGCCGATCTAAGCGATTAAGTAAGAATCGGACGGTCTTTCCATTAGCAATATTCAGGAGGAGATCTTCCATGCTGGTCGCATTTTGGAGATTTTCTTTGCGTTTGTAAACAGTGGTTGCATTCTTCGAACGTCACAGGATTGTCCCTTGCCATCATATTTCCTGTGACATTGAGATGAGCTTTTTCAAGAATTGAAGGTAACTATATCTACACATTTTAGTTGGAACTGACAAGGCGCACATATATTTTTCATTGGACACCCGTTGCACTTCTTCGAATCTTTCCTGACAAGACAGTGGTCTCTTGAAAGCTGGTACGTGAAGAATGCGGACGAAGACTTCCATGCAGATTACAGATGAGCGGTAGCGGGTGTCTCTGAAGCATGACCAAACGCCCAAAAATCTGTGCCGTTACCCTTAGTGAGTTTCTTCCGTCTGAGTTCAACAATGATGCAGTTCCGACTGTTTGGAGGTCCTAGACTGCTTTTATGAACGCAAATAAGTTTCTCCTCTCATCGCGGTCTGCCCGTTCTTGAATCAGCCAGTCATTCTGCATTTCCCTGCACTGGAATTCTGAATTCTCCTGTTATCTTCATAGGTTTGTAAGGTCTGATTTCCTTAAAGAACCTACGCAGCATTCTTCATCTTAACCACTGTACCAGTCCTGGCATTGTCGATAACTTACACAGCGGCGGAGGATTTATCTGGGAACATGACCGGCCGCCTGTCCGCCGCTGTTGACCCTCCCACGCGGATGGGATCCGAACGACTGCTTATTGTCCCTGTGAAAATTTGGTCTATCGTTCGTGGATCAGCGTATGTGGCACGCCTAGACGGGTTGTCTAGCCCTGTCAGTCACCCTGCCCGATCCGCCTTCCGGTCGTTCTGACTCTGTCTTGATACCGGATCCAGGTGGGCGAGGGAGGGGAGAGTGCAGTTGGTGCTGCGCAAGCCTACTATCGCCACAAACTGGTCTACGCACAAGTCGCCGTCCCTGTGCCTGCTTTGCTGTCGGGCACACGGTCGTTTGCGACGGTCGATCTGATGATGAGGCCTGCTAAATTATTCAGTGTGACTTCCAAATCTCACCATCGGCCATTGCTTTGGTATGGTTAGGAAGCGACCCGACCCAGCCAGAGATACCTCGAGGACTTCTGTCGGTCTCTCCACACGACTTTTATTTGGGGAGAAACGAAGGGAGAAACGAGGGGAGAAACGAAGGTTACTGCAGGGAGCACCGGGTGTGTAGACAAACGCCCACCGGGTATCCCCGTGTAGTTAAGCCTGGCCGTCAAGAGGGGTTGCTGGAGTGGGAGTGGTGGATAAAGCACAACTCTGTGGCGCCACAGATGAGAATTGGGTGCCAGGTAAGGACAAAGTGGTGCAACTTCCGCTAGCACCTTAGCAGTTAACCAATGTTTCACTCCTGAGTGGAAACGCCATGCACCCCACACGCTCACCCACTTTCGCATACACTGAACCCTCTCCTCTGAGAAGCATGGTGGGGGCCAGATGCTAGCTTTCTAACGCATGCTACAATATGTACCTTTATTCTGCGACAGTGGACTTCCGCAGAATACATAGATAGGCGAATGACAGACACCAAATCGGTGTTGTTTCTTCCGCCTGCGCGGCCCCCTGCTTGACTTTAAATAATGTGCTCCAACTTCATTGATTCCAGCAGACCTACCTGGTATATTAACTCCTTATGGGCGGCATGTACGGAGTTGCAAACCTCCGCATTGAAAATTCCAAGAAGTCTTGAGTTTACTCCAGGAGACGGCTTAGCATGTCATTTTGACAGTTCGAACCTAATGTGACA